CTGGGGCCTACAGGGCTGAGACCAGGACCAAGACTGGGGCCTGCAGGTTTGAGACCAGGACCAAGACTGGGGCCTGCAGGGACATCCTGGTGAGAGCTGAGCCTCCAACGGGCCTGGAGCGGCACCAGAAGCTCCATACACACAGCACAAACACATGGTGACGCTCGTGCAGGCGCTCATCACACCCACACACGTGCAAACACACCACATGAGGGAGAATGGAAGGAGCAGGAGGGAAACACAAGCCTGTGTAGAAGCTCTGACTCTTCTGTGACGTTCCTTCAGTCAGACCCCCCAGATACAACGAAAGCTTTGGTGCATGAAATCTGACTCCTCGTGGTAAAGCAACATGTTGTGTATGCCCGACTGTTCTGATCTTTCATTAAACAATCATGGTGTCAACACACAGAGACCGTGTACTGACCCTAAAAAGACAATTTTCACTTTGTATATTTACCGTCTATAAATATTTGAGTTACGGTGGTTCCCCCTCTCATTCTGTCTTCCTCTGTGTCTCCTCTACTGTCCTGCAGATTATGTTTATTTTGAGAACTCGTCCAGTAACCCACTGCTGATCAGGAGGATAGAGGAGCTGAACAAGGTGAGTGGGTGTCCAGCATAAACCAGCACATCTCCACCCAACGTGCACATCTTTGTTTCTTTGGTGTCAGTGCAACAGATTCTGTTCCATTTTCAACTGCAAATTAATTATTGCTCAAAGGTCAAAGTGAACCATTATTTGTTTGCATTTGTGTGTACTGTGTGTGTGTTTTTACACATCTATTTATTACCAAAATATCTTATGAAGTATCACCTGGATTTACATCTGTACCTCAATAACATTTGGAGTTGACACAATTTATGATGGCCAACACAACTGACCAACTGTAAAAATAAAACAATTATCAAAAATCACATATCAGTAGTAATAAATCATATATCAGTAATCATAAATCATATATCGGTAATCATAAATCACATATCGGTAATCATAAATCACATATCGGTAATCATAAATCACATATCGGTAATCATACATCACATACCGGTAATCATAAATCACATATCAGTAATCATAAATCATATATCAGTAAT